GGGTCCTCCGGAGGACCCGGCCTGTCGTTTTGGACACAGCCATGCACAGTAGTGGTAACTGGTGTAGGCCGTGGACGTCACAAGACATTATACAGACAGGCTCTGGTATCATGGCTACCCAGCAACGGAGCTCAAAAGTGTGGGAACTTTTTAAGAAAATGAAAGAGAAACCTGTGCAATATCTGCAGAGCAGAACTTACCTTACACAGCAATTATTTCTAGTTAGCATGTAGCTAAAATCTAATGATGATTATACAATAGCAGCTGCATTCTGACGAGATAAGCTCTATGTCTTATATTCAGTTAACATATGATCTGATTAGTCGACTAATTTAATAAATAATCGGTGATTAATCGATTAAAATAATCGATTGTGGCAGCCCTACTCTCAGCTATACTTTATATTAATTAAGCTTCTATTTCAGTTACTGTTTGTGAGTTTTAGCTGTTCTATTATTTGCGTGGGTTTTCTCCCACCCAACAAAACATGTAGAACAGGTCGCCTTCAGGCCCAGGCCGCCCTTGAAAAAGAGATCTGAGATCTCAATGGGACTTGCCTGGTAAAGTAACGGTAAATAAATAAATTTACTCTCAGCTACTTTATATTAAGCTTCTATTTCTGCTACTGTTTGTAAGTTTTAGCTTTCAGCCACTGGTTTTTAGCTTCTGTTTTGCTGAAAATATTCAACAAATTCTTGTGTTTTAGGATGAAACTTAAGGATATTTTGGTCTAACACATTCTAGAAACATCTCTCTGTGTTTCTGTTGTACAAACTAACGCAGGACCAGAACAATCAGGCTCCAGGTCCCGGGTCTGTTTCCACTGGTCGGCTGGTCTCTGGGGGGGTGTAGACTTCTCTTAATCCTCTGCTTTCATTCACTAACGTTGTGGGTTTGGACCGGGAACAATTCGTCCGCACTGAAGTCTGAAAGTTTCGTCTCAGGTTTCTGCAGCCTGAGTCTGATCGCCGCGACTCCTCTGCAGAACCCAGCAGAACCCGGGCCGGCGCACAGAACTTTTAATGCTACGAATATAATTA